AAAAAAAAAAAACAAAACCGTTCCTATCCCGTCCCAAGGACTTCAGACTTCATTCCATGGGCAACGGGAACTCGTGAAAGCTTCCAATGGAACATTACACTGGCAACGGGCAGACCCACGATGGACTGTGGCGGCAATCCGGGTTAGGGTTGCTCAGCCCCCGCTCACCGACAGGGCTGGCGGCCGTGGAGGCCGCCCTGGGCACCGCAGCACGTTTCGGCAGCATCCCCCGCCTCTCGCCTCTGGAAGCCAGTGGCCCCACAGGTCCAACTGTGACAACCCAGAAAGATCTCCAGTGTTCCCTGGGAGCAGGGGCACAAAACTGCCCCCATTTGAGAATCGCTGGTGATTCTCCAGGATGTGAACTCAAGGGAACTGAAGTGGGAACGAAGCTAATTACGGCCTGGGTGGGAAGAGACATGCTGGGCTAAGAACTGCTATCGGTGACTCACTGAAAGTGGGGGCTAAGGAGACCGGAGAAGTCAAATCGAAGATAAGGAAATAAAAGGGGGTGAAGAAAATTTTACGGGAAATGCTTATTAATCCCTAAAGTTATTCCCCTAACATTCTGAGTTCTGTAAGATCCAAACCCTCCCCTCCAGAGCAAACAAAAGCCCTCTTCCCTCTCCTAGACCGATCTTGAGAACGTCGATAGTCAACAAAAGCAGTAAAGGGCACTGCTGACCCTCCGTGCTTGATAGCCTCGCCCTCCGTGGAGTTCTACTTACAGAATGGAAGTGTTTTTAAGTGTCCTGTCCTATCAGTAAATCACCAGCTTTTCTGCCCCACCTCCTACCAAGTCCACACCGTACATCAAAATTCCCAATCTCTTTCTGTTCCTGTGGTAAAATATCCTGAAAGTGTTCCTCCCCCTCTCCCTCTCTCTAGAGTTACACAATCCCTGCTTTAAAATCTCAAGATTCACTACAACAGTGAACGATTTTTATCATTCTTCACAAAATCTAAATAAACAGTACGGTAAGAGTAGATGAAAATAGTTTTACTCATTTGATTAGGCATTTTAAAAAAACACACTGGCTTCAACAAAAGTATTCAAGGATCCTTTTGTGTTCAAACTGTAAGGAACCTATGAATTTTCTGGAAATGTTATTAAAATAAAAATTCTGCTTCAGTGGACCTCGAGCGAAGGCTGAGACCGCATTTCTAAAAGGCTCCCACAACTACTAGTACTCTCCTGCTCTGGTGACCACACTTTGGGAGGAGTAAAGTTCTAGAGAATATTACAGAAAAGACCTAGAGAAAAAACAACGAACGGTCCAGACAGAAACTGAGGCCACTCCCGGAAATAGCAAGAGTTCAACAGAGTTTGACCTACATACTTCGAGACCATTACTCATATGCCCTGCAGAAGTTTTTCAATGCTGGCTCTTCGAAATTTCATGACCTAGTCCATAAAAGCCCTTTCCAACGGTTTAAGACTAAAAGAAATCCTCCTTTGCTCCTTACACATGAGGGACGTCTCCGTATCAAAAGAAAGAA